AAGGTCGAACCAAAAAGGAGGTAAGATTGTAAGAAGTTAAAAGACATTCATACTTTTAATACATTCAATCATATAGGAAAATGTTCTCATAAACATTTGTTCCTTTTCCTATGCTTCTCCCCATTTTTTTCGTAACTTAGCAGTCTAATATTCTAAGTTTAGGCAAAAAGTTTAGCATAGATCAGCATGTTAGGCGGCAATTATGAGTTTTTGCTCTTCATCCCTTCAGTCATCATCTCTAGATTGGTCCAAACTCATGGCTCACTAATGCACACACCATCGTCATATAACATACTTTAGTTGTCCTCTCTTCATTATAATATGAAAAATTTGCAAAGTTCTGAGAACCAATATGTCTCATAACTCCAATCATAAGAGGCCCAAGAATCCATCTTATAAAATTTCTCTTCTAGCATGAGCAACACAATCCAAGTTTCCAACAACAAAAAATCCAAGTTTCAATATCTTTTCGATTTCTCCATAAAGCTTCACTTGCTGTTGATGCTCAGTAAGCCTTCGTTAACTCTCCTCAAATTTGTTTTTAATAAAAGCGAACCGGAGTATGACCAGATAATGTGAACGGCTCGGTCTTTAACAGAGTCAAACGGAAGAAATAAAACTCAAACCTTTTTCTCCCGTTTTTCCATGCAAGTCTGCCTCCTCCCTTTTCTCCTATTGAGTTTCTTGTTGTAGAGAATAGAGAGAGAAAAGAAAAAAGAGAGATGATTGGAAATGAAAATCTCAATGACAAAGAAGAAAGACGAAAGAGAAACAAAAATCACCTTCACATTTTTTTTTTACATAACAAAAAAGGAAGATAGAGAGTGAAAGAAAGCATAAAGAAAAATAGATTGATTAACTTTTGTACATAACAAAGAAATGGAGAGAGAGAAAGCATAAAGAAAAATAGATTGATTAATTAATAAAAGTTAATCCCATTGGCCGATTTTAATTAATAAAAAATTTCAATGACAAAGAAGAAAGATGAAAGAGAAGCAAAAATCACATTCCCATTTATTTTTTTTGTACATAACAAGAAACGAAGAGAGAGATAGAAAGAAGGCATAAAGAAAAGGACGAAACTTAGCTGCAACCTGGGTTGTAGCCAACCCTGCTGCCGGGCCACATGTCCTCAAATAATTGGTTGCTTTTCTTCAATAATTAATGGTTCTGTGTTTATTTTAGGAAAGGGAAATGCAAGCTAACGGAGGTCCGGATGTATAGGCGGACGGAATTTCTATTTGGATGACCACTTCTTTTTTTTTTCTTTTGCATATTCACTCCTTGTGCTATTAAGTTAGGATTCTATGAACTTGTTAGTTATTTTTTTTGTCATTAAGTGTTAAATAAGTTATTAATTATTTGAGCTGAAGTTTGAAAGTGTTGTAACGATTACTTCATTCATTGCATAATGCATACTATTATTTTTATTTCCAACAACTAGGGACGCTTACACTACCGCCTTCTTCAACATTGGTCTCACGTAACAATATTATGTGGGTAGTAAGAAGTCGTAGGCGTGTAATAATAACAAGTATAAATTTCTTTTATTACAAATTTATATTAATGTATGACAACTTGTTCATACTAGTCAATCCATGTCAATTAAATCATGACGATATTATTAATTGAGGAGATAAAATTCACCACATACTAAATAAAATAGCTATAATTTTAGACTATATTTAGATTTTTTACATTCTCAATTATTTTCTTTACATATTTAGGAGAGTATTTTTGATGAACCATAGAAAATCCAAAAATATATTGATTAATTTTTTTGTACATAACAAAGAAAGGAAGAGAGAGAGAGAAAGCATAAAGAAAAATATATTGATTAATTAATAAAAGTTTCCATTGGCTGATTTTAATTAATAAAAAATTAGTTTTGATGTGACACTATAAAACAATAAAATTCTCACTTGTTATTTTAAAGTACTAATTTCTCTTGTGATGGATTATTAGAGTTGTCAAACCTATTTATACCATTAAGTCAGGTTAGCAAGTGATATTCTTCAATCTAGGTATGATTGGTTTATGTGAATATACGAAAAAGTGGAAAACCATTAACAAATAAATTGACATATTAAGACAATATGCTTATAATCTCCATATATATTTGAAAATAACACTGCATTATACATATATTTTTTTTATAAATCTTCATATTCAATGCAACACTTAACGTAAACATCCAAACGCTTATACTTGAATCCAATAGATAATATCAACATCGATCTAAATGTTCATACTTAAATCAGATAATATTTTCTCCTTTTATTAGTTAATTTCAAAAAAATGATGTCATTTTGTTCAGAGACCTATAATTGATTGTATCTTTCGTATCACTCTTTTCTTGATTTTGACCTTTTATCGGTTTTTAGTACCACTTCATATCAATGATCTTCTAGTTGGTTTTTATCGAATACTAGTTGAACCAATTTGTACCGACAGTAGTGACGAGGCATGATTTGAAACTAGACATGTCATATTTTCATAATATAAATACAAAATTATTTATTTAATAATTTTATAAAAATTATAGATAAAAATAATATCCAAATAATTCATTGATACAGAAATAGCAGACTAATACAATCATTATTTTCATAAACAACCACGACGGATTTTCATATTATGAAGGAAATTCAAAATACATTCGTTGCATACACTCTTAAATAAGCTTCTTTCAATGCATCCCACTAAACAATCATTAGTCAACTAGTCGCTAATTTCGACTTCGAAATTTGCTCTTAATATAGCTCAAAACTGAAAAAGTGCTCTTTCTGTACATTTATCTGCAACTGGTAGAATCACAACCAACTTCAGGGTTACAGGGCAAAAAATTGAATAGACCTAAGGGGAAAAGATATTCGATTAGGCCTTTATTCCAATTGGATGTATTATAAATCATTTTTATGTCAATTTATTTCCACAGAAAGGCCCCAGACAGAAGAAACAGAAACACCATTTATTGTTTGCTAGATGAGGATGGGGTGGAAAGGAAGGGTCAAGAGCAGGTTACATTATGTTTGCGTGACTATTACCAGACGCTGTTCAAGGCAGCTGCTCCAGCGGAATCTTCCTATGTCTTGGACTTGATCACCTGCAAAATCACAGCCAGTATGAACGAGGAGCTGTTGCAACCCATTACAAGGGAGGAGATATGGAATGCTCTAAAATTTATGGGACCTACAAAAGCCCTAGGGGCTGATGGCATGCCAACGCTGTTCTTTCAGAGGCACTGGCACATTATTGGAGATGATATAACGAGGGAGCTACAAGGGTTTTTGGAGGCGGGATCTTTCCCTCAGAATTTGAACCACACTCTGTTGGTTCTCATCCCCAAGTCTAAGCAACCTAAAACCCTTGCTGAATATCGACCTATTAGCCTATCCAAAGTCCTATACAAAATCTTCTCGAAGGTACTTGCTAACAGGCTTAAAAAGGTGTTACATGTGGCGGTGGTGGAAAATTAGAGTGCGTTCGTGTCGGGAAGATACATTACTGATAATGTTATTGTGGCTTTTGAATGTTTCCATGCAATGAAAGTAAGAACGAAAGGTAAAAAGGGTTTCTTGTAGGGGTGGGCATTCGGTCGGTTCGGTTTCGACCGAACCAAAATTATGAATACCGGGTCCCTGAATTCTCCCAAACCTCAAACCGAATTCGAACAGAATTATAATTCGGTTTAAACCGAATTATAATTCGGTTCGGTTCATTTTTTCACACAAAACCGAATTTGTGAAGTTACTTGTATTTTCTCACTTTTAAATTATTTTTCACCCCTAATATAAAAATAAATATCAATTACATGCATAATCAATGATAAAACCAAACTTTTCAACACATAAGTCATAAAATATTTCAAATATTTAAGTTTAAAAACAACTACAAACATAAAAATCCACCATTTGGAGCTTGCAATTATAGTATTTCGGTTTTTTCGGTCGAAAATTCGGTTGAAATAACCCTGATTTGCAAACTATCCATATTTTCCTTCCGAATTTCGAACCGAATATTATTAATTCAGTTTTGGTTCGGTTTAATTTGGTTTCGGTTCGGTTCGGTTTGGGTTTACCGAACCGTTTGCCCACCCCTAGTTTCTTGGCAGCTAAGTTGGATATTGCTAAGGCTTATGAACGAGTGAGCTGGGAATTCTTGGAGGCTATTATGAGAAAGATGGGTTTTGCGGAAAGATGGGTCAGAATGGTGATGACTTGCGTGTCAACAGTCTCGTATGCTGCATTAGTCAATGATCATCCCTCAGAAGTTTTCTACCTTGCAAGAGGTCTCAGACAAGGGGATCCAATATCCCCATATTTGTTCCTGTTAGTTGCTGAGGGCCTTTCGGCCTTGACAGCGAGGGCTGAGGCAGAGGGGCTGATTCAAGGTTTGAAAGTGAAACAGAATGCCCCTGCTGTTTCACATCTGCTGTTTGCAGATGGCATCTTTTTCCTCAAGGCCTCTAGACCCCAATGCTTGAAGCTCAAGGAAATCCTTAACAGATATGAGGTTGAATCTGGACAGAGTGTTAGCTTGACAAAATCAGAGATCTCGTTTTCACCTACATCTCAACTGAATCTAAGGATGAGCTGGGAGGGATTCTGGTTTATAATTTATAATTTGTTTGGATTTATTTTTTCCTCTCTAGGACAACAAATCCAAATCACGGTATCGCAAACTAAAGCGGTAGAGCACAGAACATCAAAAGTTATTAAAGTGTTAGGCAACGAGAAAGAGGTTTGAGTTGCGACTATGTGACTACAACTCGATAGAACCTCAAATTGAATTACATTAGTAAATTTTTTGGGAGCATTTATGCATACAGATGAGATGAATATCCTACTGCTCCAAATCTAACAACGAAATCCAAGTTGGAGTGTATGTATGGACTTGAAACGGTTGAGTCATTCCTTCAAGATCGAGACGATTAGTACCACTTGTAGTAGGGTCTAAAATGTACACTCCATCCATTTTTTCGCATGCATGATCAGAGGCGGACTCTTCAGCATTTCCCATTGCACAAATATACATACCATCCTTCCATATTTCTAAGTTTCGCTTCCAACACATTTGTCCAGGTAACTGAAACATGAATAACTTAGTCCATGACTCCGCAAATCCATATTTCATTAGTCCCCAAATCTCGTACGATTCAACTTCTGGACATTCGGTGGAGAGTAAAGTCACCACGAATGACTCCTTCAACGTAAAACACGACTTGACAAACCATCTGCTTGTGCTAGGGGGAAGAGCTACGGTCATGGTTTCAAATACTTCCTTACTCATTTCGAAAGAAATAATCTCGCAATTTTCACCGTCACCGACTAAGGGAACCCAATAACATCTCTCATTTTGATACGTGTCCCGATGTTGTTGATGAATATAGTTGAGCGGATAAGCATTGATTATTATATCATCATTGGCCGTCAATAATCTCTTCCATGAATCATTTCTCAAACTGTATACCTGATCCAACCACAACATAATAAGAAAATATGATTGAGCAAGATAATTACAAATATGGTTAATATACTGACAGAGTGACAGTGCGTTTCAATATGACAATTGAGATCCGGGGAATGGACCGACATTGCAAATACACACGTCCAAATTTTGCAACAATCCTTGTCATCCTATAATGAAATCATTTATAACAAAATTTCAATTTTATGGATTAAAATTTATTTTTATTTTTTATATTTTTGAATTTTTTATATTATGTCAATGGTTTATTTTAAGTGTTAGATGCTATTTAAAATACTTGAAACTATGATCTCTGAAAACCAATAGTGGAACTACTATACAGTCTATTATTTGTCTAAAACATTAACTAAAATGCTTGTATTTTAAATAAATGTAATTTAAATCTAATATTTGATCATTTATTTGCAATGTTTAAGGGATTCCGCATTTAACGCTTTTATTTTTAAATTTGGTCTTTACTGGCCAAGCATTATAGTTTTAGAAAGCTAAATTTTAACATTTTACAAACATGATCAAATTTAGATGATAAAATTAAGCTTGCACTATAGCATCTAAACATTGAGAAATTTACAGATAAAAGTTTATTTTGTCACGAGGAATTTCAAGTAATTACTATGATATATATTTGAAGTTTACAAGTAATATACTAAATATCTAGCTCATCTATTTGGACAAATTCAAATATCATAGCTACTTACTTAGCATACAAGCAATCAATTTGGTGTTTGGAATTTCAAATCCCAAACAGCAAATCCAATCCTAATCCAATCCATGATGAGGTTCCAGAATATACAATATTTTCGTTATTCTACCATCCGAACTTAAGATTTATCATGCAACATGACATAACCTCTCAATCTCTGAAGAATGAAATAAAAGAGTTTTTGTTTTTTTAAATACAAGGATTACTTCATTTCAAATTAGAAAGTAGGAAAATTATTTAATGAATGAATGAAAAATCATGTTAATAAATTATTATCAATATAAATACAATTTATCTAAAATAAAATGGATCCGTAGGCGAAATAAATTACCGCACGCATCCGAATTGAAGTTACCTCTGTATAAGCAACCCGAGAAGGGCAGCCAAATTTTACAAGACCATCATCATCAGCACCATTGTCGTCTTCTTCATCAATCCGCTCAAATACCAAAGTCCTGACAACTTTGTAGTCGCGAGTCAGGGGATCGAAACCGAACCCGATTTCCTCGCAACACATGAGGAAGGACGGAGCGCGAGGACAAGAGGAAAGCGGTAGCAACCTGGTCTCCGAGGTGGTCGGATTCCACATGCTGATGTCGGAGACACTGCTGCCCGGGTACGTGGAGATGCAGAATATACCGTCGCAACAACCGACGATCGCCAAACGGTTACCTGGCCTGTAATTACGCATCTTGCAGGGAACGGCGGCGGCGGCAGAGACGGGACAGAGGGCGTCGTAGGAGTGCAAGGAGTAGTGGGTCTGCCGGACGCGGGGAGGTTGGGCGGCGGCAGCAGGTACGGGCCAGAGGTTGAAGGAGGAGCTGTGGGTCTGCAGGACGCGGATAACGTCACCGGCGATCAGGATTCTGAGGGATTGTTGTTCGGCGGTGGTTCGGAAGAAGAGAATCTTGCGGATGAACTCGGGATCTGAAAGTAGATTCCGCCATGATCTGCAGACGCAGCGGAACAGGGAGATACACGAAGCGATCGGCAATCGCAGGAGAATGTTGATCACTACATCTTCCGTCAGGAAGGTTGCTTGGGACTCGCGGTCTTGTTCTTCGGTCATTAAGACTGCCGAGGAATCTGCTGAAAGGGAAGGAAGTGGCTGCCTTGTCTTGGATATTACTCTGCTTCCTTGCTCTCCACTCTTTATCGACATGTTGGGGCCTTAATATAGTGGTCAATGTCCAATGTCAACGGACAGGGTGTGCATATTAGACAAGGGAGCATCGCTGGTAGACAGCAGCGTATTTGCTCAAACCGCCAGCAATGCAGTGACAGCTTCTATGCCAGAACAAGAAGAAAAACAAGACTTGGAAGCTTCTATGCCGCATCAAATGTAATAAGGTAGAAATTCTCATTTCCTATTAACACCAATAACACTTCTGGTTCCGTGATGTGTCTTGATGAACATATCCGGGAGTCCACCCAACCAAACAAGACCTACCAGTTAATCTCTTCCATGAATCATTCTTCAAGCTATAAACCTAACCACAATGGCATACATGGGAAATCAAACTTCTCATATGTTTAATGATTGAGCCAAGATCAAAACTAAGCAAGGCCTGGTTAGTAGCACACTCATAGGTCGGAGTCTGCGTAAGCTTAATGCAATTGGATCGATGAATGCACCGATGACAGTTCTATAAACAACACATCCACGTGCATCCAACGATGTCAGACCGTGGCTAATCCCCGCTAATCAGTAGGGCAGCAATGAATTCAGCACAATATACTCATTATATGAAACTAAACACATTCGAATAAAATTTACCTCTTTACAAATAGTCGGAGGAGGGCAGACATAACCAATGAAGTAATAATCATCACTATCAGCTTCCTCATTCCCCGAATATATCAACGTCCTGACAACCTTGTAGTCTCAGGCCAGGGGATCGAAGCCGATACCAATGGACTCGCAGCTCTTGATTGTGCGAGGGCAAGTGGAACGCGGCAGGAGCTCTGTCTCGGAAGTCGTCGGATTCCACGGAATGATTTCAGAGGTGCTGCGCTCATTCTCGTCGGCGATGCAGAATATGCCGTCGCAACACCCGACGATGGTCAAACGGGACCAACCATCACAGATCTTGTCCGGGGTGGAGGGTAATACCGGGGCTGCGGAGATGTATCGGAGGGTGTCGTAGGAGTGCAAGGAGTAGTAGAATTTTCGGATGCGGCTGACTGGGTGGAGATCCCCACCGGCAATTAGGATTTGGAGGTGAAACTTTCTAAGGAAGGGTTTGATTGAGCAGAAAGTAAGGAGGAAGAAGAAGATGAGAATTCCTCAGCTTGTCTCATTGTTGGGATTCTTTCATTTATAGCATTCCGAATTTACTGTAACATAACGGTAACAAAGCCAGGTGTCAAAATGCAATTGTTCTGTAAATAACTAACAACTACTTAAAAGCTAAACGATGCGTTCAGCTAATACGTTTTCAACATGAAACGTTTCTTCTCAAGAGAACTTCAACTTCAACGTTCTTCTTCTTCTGCAAACTTTGAAACCATCAGCTGTTGCTTTCCTCTGGACTTCTGCACTTCCTCTTCTCGTTGATTCAAATCAACAACTCCTTTGAACTTCATCACGACCCCACAAGTTGGCGCGTATATGTTTAATACGCCTAACTTGTCCAACAAGTAACTCAACCTGTATCGACTTAGGCCTTTAGTAAACAAGTCAGCAAGCTGATCCTCACTTCTTACAAACTTCAATTTGATAAGTCCAGACTTGATCCTTTCTCTAGTAACATGAACATCGATTTCGATGTGTTTTGTTCTCTCATGATAAACTGGGTTCTCTGCAATCTGAATTGCAGACATATTGTCACAATAAACCAGAACTGGTGTTTGAATCTTCACATCCAGTTCTGCAGGCAACCCTTTGAGCCACTGTATCTCACACACAAGATGAGCTAATGCTCTGTATTCAGCTTCGGATGAAGATCTGGACACTGTGGTTTGCTTCTTTGCTTTCCATGTAATCAGAGATCCTCCTAGGAAAGTACAATAACCAGAGATGGATCTCCTTGTGTCAGGACATGCTGCCCAATCAGCATCACTATAAGCCTTCAAAACCAGATCATTGTTTGATTTAAAATGAAAACCCTGACCTGGTGCTCCCTTTAAGTACCTCAAAATTCTGTAAGCAGCTTGTAGATGAGTGTCTCTTGGTTGTATCTGGTATTGACACAGCTTCTGTACTGGAAAAGCAATGTCTGGTCTGGTCACTGTCAAGTAATGTAATCTGCCTACCAGTCTCTTATACACACTTGGATCTGGCAACAGTGTTCCTTCAGTTGCACTCAACTTGATCTTGCAGTCAAGAGGACTCTTACAACTCTTAGCATCCAATAATCTTGTTTCTGCAAGTAAGTCCATGCAATATTTCCTTTGTGAAACTGAAATTCCACTAGAATTCCTTGTCACTTCCAATCCAAGGAAGTATTTCAAACTTCCAAGATCCTTGATCTTAAAATCCCTTTTCAGGAACAACTTAACTGCCTCCAAATCACCTAATCTAGGGCCTGCAAGTATTATATCATCAACATAGACTAGGAAAATCACAATCCTTCCTTGAACCCATTTAACAAACATGGAATAATCAGATGAGGACTGTGAGAATCCATTCTTCAAAAGAGATCCAGTAAGCTTGGCAAACCATTGCCTACTGGCTTGTTTCAAGCCATATAATGACTTTTTGAGTCTACAAACCATTCCTTTAGAACCTTCATCAACTGGAAATCCTGATGGCAACTACATGTACACATCTTCTTCCAAGTCTCCATGCAAAAATGCATTGGAAACATTTAACTGATGCAAACACCAATCCTTTGCTGCAGCAACTGCAAGCAGTGCCTTGACTGAATTATTCTTGGCAACTGGTGAGAAGGTATCCAGAAAATCAATTCCATAAACTTGAGTAAAACCCTTTGCCACTAATATGGCCTTGAATCTTTCAACACTTCCATCTGGTTTGAGTTTAATTTTGTATACCCATCCACATCCAATTGCCTTCTTCCCTGGAGGTAGCTTAACTAACTCCCAGGTTTGATTTTCAATAAGTGCAAGTAGCTCTTCCTTCATTGCCAATCTCCAGCATTCTTCTTCATTGGCTTCTTCAAAAGAGGCTGGTTCAACCATTGTCACCATATTAACAGCATATTTTCTCATATCTTCAGTTAGCAATTTATAGTCGACCACATCTGTGATTGGATACTTGGTGACAATTCCCAAGTAGTAGTCCTTTAATCTGGCTGGTAAAGTAACATTTCTCTGAGGCCTTGTTCTAACTGGTTCTGCCTCATGTTCCTCCAGTTGCTGGAGTTCTGCTTCTTCTTCTTCTTCATTCTCTACAATTACATCAGTCTCATACACATGAGTATTATCAAATGATGCATCAAATTCATTGCTTGTAGGATGAGAAGAGGAAGAAGAAGGTTGACAGGAAGGACTAATGACATGACCCTGTGTGGAAGGACTATTGACATTACCCTGTAAAGAAGGACTACTGACAGGAGGAAGACTATTATCTGAGAATGATGGAAAAACAGGTGATGAATTGGTTTCAACCTGTTCATTATCAACTTCTGGAGTTGAGTTCAAAGTCTTAAATGGGAATATGTCTTCATAGAATATCACATCCCTAGACACTAGGAAGTCATGTGAATTTAGGTCAAAAAATTTATAACCTTTAATGCCTGCTGGAAGTCCAAGAAAGATGCATTGTCTAACTCTTGGATCTAACTTGGTTTTGCCTGGAACAGTGCTAGCAGCATATGCTAAGCACCCAAAAACTCTTAAATGACCAAGGAAAGGAGGTTTTTTATACAGAACTTCATAGGGAGACTTGTTTTGTAAAACTGGAGTTGGAAGTCTATTGATTATGTAAACATCATGGATCACACAATCACTCCAGAAATTGAGAGGTACACCTGAATGAAATCTCAGAGCACGTGCCACATTTAAAATGTGTTGATGTTTGCGTTCTACCCTCCCATTTTGTTCAGGTGTATAAGTACAGGAGGTTTGATGTTCTATGCCCTGATTAAGGTAGAAATCACACATGTAAAACTCTTTTCCCTGATCACTCCTCACAGTTTTAACTGCTTTTCCAAACTGGTTATGAACCATTTTACAGAATCCAATCAACAGCCCTCTAGCTTCAGACTTTTGTTTCATTAAGTATACCCAAACATCACGAGAATGATCATCAACAATGGTTAGGAAGTAAAAATAACCATCATGAGAATTAACTGACAATGGACCCCAAATTACAACATGCACCAATATAAAAATATCTGAAGCCTTAGAATCACTCAAAGGAAATGGCAATCTCTTTTGCCTAGATAAATGGCAATGCTCACAGTGTTTCACTCTCTCAACAGGAACTGCTGGATTACATTTGTTAATAAGTAAAGTACTACTATTACTGGGGTGGCCTAATCTCCAATGCCACAGCTCAATCTTGTGGGATTCAAAATTGTAAATGGAAGAAACTTGAGAGGTAGTGTTTGGTATGGTAGGCTGGTCTGTTAGGAAATGATATAGGCCTCTATTTTCTTTTGCCAAACCAATCCTCTTGCTGGTCACTAGGTCCTGGACATGACAAAGGTCAGATTGAAATATGAGTGAGATTGGGAGGTCATGTGTAAGCTTGCTAACAGAGACAAGGTTGAAAGTGAAGCTGGGAACTAGAAGCACATTATGTAAGAATAGATGTGGAGACAATCTAACTGAACCTATGTGTGAGACTTGGACCCTTGCTCGATTAGGAAGATAGACAAAGATTTCAAACACAGGATAACAACTATCAAAAAGTGAAATGGAACAAGCAATATGATATGATGCACCAGTGTCAAATATCCATGTATTTTGTAAAGTTTTGTGATTCTGATAAGTTGACAGAACATGCTTACCTCCATAGCTTGGGAATTGAGGTAGATAATTAGTCACAGAATGTGACCTATGATTAATTGCAGGACTCTGAGGAGAGGTTGGTGAGCTGGAACTTGAGGACTGCAAGAGGCTTCTCAGTTTGTTCATTTCCTCTGCAGTAAAGCCACCAGA